TTTGTGTGGTGCAATCTTTAGACAAAGAAATAGAGACTTGAAGAAATCACCTAAGCTCCCTCAACAGGGAGAGATACCTCCAGTACCCACTTTGTCCCACCTTAAACCTATGGAAGGTGGCCTAAAGTGCTGTGGGGCTTTTCTTCTGGACCCTATTTATCTCAGCCAAAACTACCCCATCATTTCACACATGGGCTGCAAAGTAGATTTCTCACACAGATAGTCCCCAAGGCTGTGGTTTTAAGCAGATGTATTTAAAATGGTGCAAAAGGGTGTATGCTTCCTATTTATCTTATGCTGATTGGTTTAGGATGGTTGGGACTTGACTTATGGTTGGGACTTTCCTACTTCAGTTCCTTGAGGGCACAGAGGCAATGGCTGTTGATGGAAGAAGTTTAAGCAGATGGTTTTTGGCTGGCATTTACAACAGTCTAAGTTGGTTACCACAAGAGGGCTGGCACAAGGTAATTTGGGCTATGAGTCTGATGGTTGGGTAGGTTGGGCAGTACCTTACCCTAAATGAAAGTAGACCAGTCTTCAACCTGAGCAGCAGTGTTTATCCTCATATATGTTAGCATTAATCTGACAAAACCAGTGGGAATCGAGGCACAGATCTAGCCTTAAAATAATTATTTAAGCTGTGCAGATATTCTTATTCCAACCTGGGAAACCTAAAAGGGATGAAGAGAGGCCTTACTGAACAGTAATGCTGTGCGGTATAGAAGCTCTGGCATACCCATTTTGGAAGACAGTTGCAGTCCCTATCTGTGAATGCTAACATGCCATGTGGAGGGAAGTAGTTCCCATTACACCCCCGAACATGTCAGTGATGTATTTAAAACATACCCATCATCAGAGGACACAAATATGAGAAGCATTTAGTTTTTGCTGTAACAAAACAGATAAAACACAGCAAAAGGTTGCCAACAAAGCAAGCTCTGTGGTGAACCACAGCCGCGTAGTGGAAGATCCGGAAAAGATAGGGAAAACATTAAAAGAGAAAGGAAAGGGGGAAAAACCCTTCCAGAAGGAATTACCAGTAATTTGGGAAGCGAATGATCAGGAAGGAAACAGCTGGAAGAGGATGAGGAAGGGGTTGCTGAAGCCAGGGAGCAGGAAAGATGGTGCCATGAATAATGTGCTGGAGATCCATGCCTTTGCCTCCTACCTCTCCTGCGGGTCACAGGGTGTTCTTGGGGTGGCCAGAGGCCATGTGCACCATCCTGCACTCTAGGAAGTGTGCTGGTGTGTTTTGGGGATGGGATGGGATGGTGTAATTGCATGCTATGGCAGCACTCCTCTTCCTCCTCTCTAGGGTATGCTCTGGTTGCTTTTGCAAACATAGTTCCAGGATAACGGATTCCTTTTTAGGCTTCTTTCCTCTCCGAATTAGGCTCATGCAGCCTGCCTGAGCGCCTGTCCGTTAGTCTCCCCTGGTAACTGTTGAAGCCTTTTGTTTTCAGGCACATTGACAGAAGGGTGAAGTTTCAGAAATACCTCATCCCTATGGGTTTTGTGGAAAACAAAGGACTAAGTAGAGAAGAGAGACCCTCCTCGCTTCTCCGCCAAACGACCGACTACAAGAGCTCGGCTGTTATTAGGCATCAGAAACCTACACGGATGAGTCCCTCCCTGGGCTCCATTGCTTCTGCTCCACAGGAACTCGCTCACGGATTAACTGAATTTCCTTGTCCTTCCTTTCATAAAGCTAGTGCTCCACTGGAACAGGCATAATGACATATTCCGTCTGAAATAGGATGATTATGAGAGCCTAGCTTGAGATAGAGATTATAAAAATGTAATATCTAGCAATTGTAATATCACCCATGGAGTAGGGGAGAGAGAGAGAGAGACAAACAGATATATAGATAGGTAGACAGATAGGTTTCTTAATTGAACTCTCTGCTTGGCTGTATTTCCTTTAAGCAAGTACCATAGGTGACTAACAATAAAGGACTGTAAGGAAGAACATGGAGCGGGTTTATCACATTTGACTTGTCATAGGCAAGCTTTTACACTCATATCAGCCTATACCAAAGACCCCTAAATAATTCAAAGTGTTCAAATGGTCTAACATTAGTGAAGTGGTATTCTTCCCTCAGGTGCTTAAAACAAGGTGGTAATATTTCTTCTTTTAAAATACTAATCATATTTCATTCCCCTGCTCCAGAGCATTTAATATCCTATATAAATCAATACCTACCTCACTATGTATCAATACATGAATAATTACATTTCTGCCTATCCCCAGACGCTCCGGAACCATTTCTTCTTGTCATTTAATCACAGAGCTGTTATTGCAGGGGAAATTCAAGCAGATGTGAATACATAAAGCCAAAAATAGAAAACTAAGCTGAGAACCTCACTGTAATAGCTGTCTCTTCCGAAGCGAGCTGCTCCTCACTTTCCCAGGAGATGTAGTAGGTATTGCTTCCCTTTTCAAAACAATAACTGCTATGGTAAAGCTCAGTCAAGCAAAGCAAAACTTCACTCACTTTGCTTTTCACAGTCGACATTCGAATGCAACAGGGAGCCCTTGCTGGTCTGATCGGGAACTGTGTCTCTCCCTCCTCTCAAAAGACCTGGGGTCCCAAAATGCCCTCATGCTGGAGCCTCCATTTGAAAAGGAATCACATAACAAGGCCCATCTGTCTCTATAGAAAAACTGGTTCATCTCAAGTAAGTGCTTTTTTGAATGGACCTACACCTGGGAAAACTGAAAATATCCATCTTCACCCCATGGAAGCCTTAGTTTACCCGCAGCACAGCATTCCCATTCCTAGTTTGTTCACTGTTCTTTTGATGCCATGTGTCTGCTGTTAGGAGACCAGATATATATGCATTACAGCATGTGTGTATATACACATACAGACAGAGCATAAGATTCAGAGGAAGACTCTAGATTTGCTGTGAAAGTGGTAGTTTCTTATTCACTGATATTAACACAGTCTTCACCCTGCACCTTGGTGAAAGCCTCAGAGATGATGGAATTAGGCTATGTATAAGTCAACACACTTAACAGACACTAACTATATAAACCTCTATCCCTTGTCAATCAGATATATGCTGTTTGTCTTTTGAGAAGGATGGAAACTCAGATGACTTGCCAGAGTTCAGAAAGCAGAATGGTGATACGTCCTCCCAGCATCCCATCCTATGCAAACCTGTTCTTCCTTCCAGACAGGCTGGGTATGTTTACCATGTCTCTACCTTTGTTTTTGCTCACCTTCCATCCCCACAGGGAGCCCTCAAGCACGTATTTGTTTGCACTTTGAACCTGTGCTTGCTTGCACGGCTCTGCTTTAGCTCAAGCTGGGACGAGATTGCCTAAGTGCCAGTAAAGCTTCAGTGCCTTCGCCTGCCATTCCCCCCACTCACCCCAGCACTCCGAGTTCCCCTGCAGTTGATTACAAGTGGGAAATAATCCTCCAGCGGTTCAGAGCGAAGTGTGTGCAGCACAGATGCCTACAGGTGAGTGCAAAATAGCACAACCAGACTAATATGGACTGAACTTCGCTTTCAACAGCAGAAACAGCAAAAGCCTTCATGCATATTCTAATCTAATGAATGTTTCTGAATGTCTGAATGGTTTACTATGTCAGATTTAGCTCTGGGAGGTGTCTTGCATCCTATAAATGCTAGGTTACAAAAATGCTGACATGTATGTATGTATGTATATAAAGACATATGTCTGGGTCTTTGAAAAATAACAGCCTAGGATGGCTGGCTGGCTGGCTGACTAACTAGCTAGCTATACATATCCTTAAACTGGAAGAACCTAGAAAAGCCTCTAAGCTAATGCATCTTTTAACACTGACTTCACTTGTAAACTCCATGTATGCTGAGAGAGCTGCAGCCATCTCAGACTCCATCAAGTTTCCTTTTCACTGAGTGCATGGTCCTGGATCCTGCTCTGCAGGTCTCAACAGCCCCAGCAGAACAGGGGGGCATGGTGGGTTCATCAGGTAGCTTGGTCCTTTGTTATTCAGCTTTAACCTGAGTAGCAACAGGAAAGCTTTAGTGGCATGATTTGAACACTAGCCAGGCAAAGAAGACCATGATAATGCAAGAGCAGGAAAGACCACAGCAAATTCTTCTTCTAGCCTCTGTGGTATCCAAATTAACAAGTATTTTTCCAGGGTGAATCCAAACACATCCTATTCCTGTCATTCAACAGCCTGCCTCTGGATGCCCTTGTCCCCCGTGGGTTGCAGACAGGTATGCAACAGCCCTTGTGTCCTGACACCAGCCATTCAGACCTGCTCTCACTTTAAAGTTAGCCCTGCTTTGAGCAGGGGACTGGATAAGAATTTCCTTTCTGACCTAAATTATTCTCCAGTGCGAAGTTCCAAACCTGGTTTAAGTGGACATTTGGGTGGCACCTCTCAGTCCCAGCACAGAGCTTGCCCTGCTCATTTGGGATCACAGTGGGATACCCCTGACTCTGCACCAGCAGCGGAATAACATTCCATTTGTAAAGAAGGAACACTCCTGATGTGAGAAGACTCCTGAGGAGCTCAAGCCAGAATCCTTCCCTACCGTCAGCACCCACATGCATGGAAACAGAGTAAAGAAAATTCCAGCCACAACTGCAGCTTCTCTGCTCCTGCTCCCTGGGAGGATGCAGCAGCTCTGACCTGTGCTGAGTCCAGGCTATGAGACTGGGAGAGCCCCCATGGCTTTGAGAGGCCATGGTGCTGCTCCAGTTCAGCAGGGGAGGAGGCACACTTTGGCCTGTTGTCAGGAGCAGGGACATGATTCCAGCCCAAATCCACTGTTGAGACAGCAGATCAGGACTAACTCTGCTCAAAAATCACTGCTCTGCACAGATCTGTCAGCTTGTGGGATTTGTGCTAGCTTGATGAAAGGGTTGGCTCCTATCCTCAGCTGAACTCTCATGGTTCAAAGTTGTGCTGGCTTTTTTTCTGTGTCCTTTGGGGTGAAAAATGTCTTGCAGCTGCTGCTTATAATTATTTCCCCTATGTTTCAACATTCTCCAGATGAATGTCACCCGAAGCAGTGCTCTGAGAGACTACAGTCATGATTGCCAATAGCCAACATCCAGACTAAAAATAAAAACCCTCAGCATGGGACTGAGCGACAAGCAATCCATCCTCTGGCAAAAATCACCCATCACCTCACCCCTCCAGCCCTGTCTTCTTCATGCTGAAAGAAGCAATATCTAACAGCATCATCAAGAGATCAAGGTGGCTCATTGAAAGCACTAGGCAAGCTGATCTCTCCATTTTGTGAATGTCTGTGTTTAACAGCCATCAGATTTTGGCTGGTCAGTACACACAGTGGAGGGAAAGAGAAGGTTTGTCAGTGGAATAGTTATTTGGCCCTGGGAGAATTCTGGGGAGCTGTTACAAAATCCCTATTTTTGGCCCCAGAAATAACACATCATCTTTTTCTTTTCCCCTGTGCTTTTAACAGTCACCTTTCACAGAGGTGGGTTAGTCTGAAAGGATCCCACCTGCAGAAAGGAAGGAAACCTAAGGGAAACATATTCTGGGAGAGCCACAGTCCCTGCCTTGCTTCCTCCTGGCTGTCACAGGGATTGAGATCTCAGGGTTTGGCCTAGCCTATGAATTTTTGCATATTACACCTGAGATGGGCTGAAATATTTATTTCCCCTTCTTTTTCATTAGTATTTAACACGCAAGGAGAATCTGTCTACTTGCCAGGCTGACCTTGCTCAGAATGGGGTCTAGAGACCAGTGCTTTCCATGCCACCAGTAGCGCATACACTTGGGCTAAGCAGAAGTACTTCTGGCAGCTGATCCACCAGTGTTTGTTAGGGCTGATCCTGGCTCTGCAACAAAAGCTTTCCTGAGTTTTACATGTGGTAACCTCACAAGATGAAGACACTAAAAAATAATGTGGCACTCTACCCTTGTGACAATACATAAAAGGCCACATCTTTGAGCAGCAGTGGTGCTATGGTTTATTTACGCTCATTTACCCCATGCCTGGGAGACACAAATTCTCAATCACTATTGCCACACAGTCTTAAGTATGAAGTGCCTTATGTGGATGATCATAATTGTTTCAAACCAGACTCTAAACACCCAGTTGAGAAAGGACAGTGCTGTGTTTGAAATGAAAATGTGGCTCAAGAGGGAAGGAGAATGATTCTAGCTCGTGTTTTCCATCTTCACAAGACTCCCAGCTCTTCCTCCCCGTCTGCACAGGCATTTTCCTCTCATCTTGCTCCCTGGGGGAACCACAAATCCTGGTGCATTCTCATTTAACTGAAAGGATCCCCAGGTAAAACCACAGCACTTGGGCTTATTCAGTAACTTGTTTGGCCCACTGGTTTTTAAGTGGGTACGGAGCTATAAATGCATTGCTTCAGCAGAGGACTTCAATGCCAAGAACAAGATGCTGATGTTATATTATCAGATTCAGGACTAGAAAGAATGGAGTCTAGACATTCCCTTATTAAAGAAATAAGATTTTTTTTTTTTGCTTAGCATTTCATCTCTGTGCTGTGAAGTGAGAATTACAACCAATAAGTGTCTAATATCTCAAGCCAAGACTCAGCTCCACCTTTGGCCTTCTGCTCCCTCGGGTGTTTTATAAGGGCCCTTGCATTTGATGACATGCATGCTGGAATAAAATGCTTAAGATAACATTTGCAAAGTTCATACATGTTTCACAAGGGGCTCCCTTTTCACTTGTGATAAGACACAGGGATTTCAGGCACAAGAGAAAAGAGTGCCATAGCTGCGTTAGGGAAGGAGGAGAAAAACTTTTCTTTGGCTGATCCAGTAAAAACACCTTTTCTCCTTGGTCATTGATGCACAAAGAGCTTCCCTGCATATACATCTGGCTGCATCTATTGCAAGAACTGGGCTTGCAGGCTGGGGAGGCCTGTGTCTGTCAGAGGAATCAGCAGACTTACCTTTTGGTTAAAAACATGGTGGTGAGGATGTGGGGACTTCTGTTCATTTTCCTGGTCAGATCAATGCCATTGCAAGGAGGTAGTGAGGAATTGCCAAGTCCTTCCTGCCTGCTCCCATTGGAGGCACCATCTGCAAACCCCTTCCCTCCCGAGCACAGCGCACATGGGATTTGAGAGGATCCCTTTCCCAAAGAAATCCTACAGGAAAGAAATTAAAATCAATGAAAAGCAAAAGCAAAAGTATCCAAGATACACATCTGACAAAGTACTGAAGGCCCAGCAGACCATTTAGACTTTTAACTCCTATTAGTGCTCATAGGTTGATACAAATAGAAGGAAATAGGAGCCTTTCTGAGACAAAAATGTGTGGAGCAAACTCAGAAGAAGCAAAATGCTGCTTAATGTCTCTAGGCCTGCTTATTTAATGACACCAGAGCCACACACATCATGATTATAACCGCCATAAACACAGCATTGGTGCCCATCACCCTGGTAAGTGCCTACCTTATGAACCAATGTCATTGTACTGTGAAAATCAGCACTCCAGTAACCAACAAAGCAGCAATAAACAGGCCCACCTCAAGTACAGCTGCTGGTGGGCTTGGGAAGTCCACCCCTGCTGAGACTGCAAACAAAAACCCTTGGATGGGCCACCATTTGAGGAAGGAAAGCATCTCACAGAGCTAACAGGAGCCCTGGCAGATGGCTCAGCTGTGTGGTAAGCTCCTCACCTCTAACGAGTGAGACCTGCAATAACATACTTGTGAGTTAAAATGGAACAGCTGAATTTCAGACAAGCTTGCTGCTTACCCTGGGTCTTCTTGGGCTACTCTGATGGAAATCAGGGTATAGCACATGCTAAAGAATCAGATTGGGGCTCACTGTTTTCATGACCAAGAGTATGTTGCTCCACAAAACCAGCTTTCCACCTCGTAAATACTCCAAAAGTAAAGGTCTGTTCAAGATATGTCTGCTGCTAATACTTTAGGCAGGTTGACTCTGTCCTAATTCACCCTTGCTAGACTACATGATTATCAAATCTTAAAGCAACCAGTGTTTCTAGTAATATTTTCTCCTAGAATGTGCTTATCAGCTCATATCTATGCCTTATTTACACTTGAATTTAATAATAGGTATTCAAACATGTGCTAAATCCCATGGTTACAAACCAAGCATCAGCATACATTAAAACACCTTCATCTGGTCCAGAATATTCTGCAGTGCTTTGACTGTCTGGTGATCCCATGGCAGTTTCTGTCCTAGCAGAGATGAGTGAAAAAGCAGCACCAGTGAGATGTGCTTCCCACGGCTGTGGCAGGTATCCCCAGAGAGCTCTATGGCACATCCTCTAGGGTTTTTTCCCCCATAAAGCTACAATGGAAGGGACAGGTTGTTTTAGTGTCCACTTTCTGAGTGCCAGGAGAAGCACAGAGGCTCTTGTAGCAGGAGGAGAAGCTGCCAGAGTAGCAGGAAATTCCACTTTCCCAAGGGTTTCCTAATCAGCACCATCTCTGGAGGCAGAGTACATAATCCCAAGGTGCAGACTGACCTGGTTACTGAAGGAAGGCTTTGTCTAACCCTGGTCACTGTTTTCCCTGCTCTGGAATATACCTATTATAAGCTCGCAGAAGCAGGCTCTGTACTTGTTCCCACACAGAAAGGAGCCAGCCAGGACTCAAAGAAGCACCCCCATCCACCTGGTGATGTTACATGGGGTATCCATGCACAAGAACCATAATTTCATGTAAATACAAACACAGGTGTCAAAGGGGAGCACAAAATAACCCCCTGCAAGTGCTCCAAAAGCCAGGGCCTGCTCATGATGGATTTACAGCCAGCAATTCAGCCAAGCTGAGTATACATTAATGCTTGTCAGATAGCACAATTATCACATCTCAGAGATCACGTCTGCCTCCCTAGGTCAGGGGTGATCAGCCCATGGCTCCCACACTTTTAGGGGACTATTCCCTTTTCTCATAGCTCACCCACCTTTCTCACCCAAATCCTGCTCCTGCAGGTGGACAGCAGAAGGTGCATCCCATCACCCTGTACCCACAGCAGGACCTGGGCGAGCAGTCCCCTGGTGAAGACAAGAGTGTTTCCAAGCTGGAAACAAAGGACAGCAGGGCCTGAATCTCCATTTCCTTTGCCCTGGCAACTGTGCAGCTCTTTAGCTTGGTAGATCTATTCCCCATCCACTGTTGCCATGATTTCATCAGACCCCACCAAGAGCATCTCTTGGAAAGGTGTTTTCAGCAGCACCTGCGTATAATGAAAAGCATTACATGAGCCCTTCTGCCCAGCACAGAAAGCCTCAGCAGGCTGAGAACGCAACCAGAGGAGACTGTGTACCTCTTATCTGGGATGCCAGAATGCTGCCTTCATAGGCAGAGCCCTGTATTATCAGAAAAGAGGCTATTTCTGGCTTCTTAGCTCACCCTATGGAGCAGTGGGTGACCAGTGCTGCAGGAGCTCATTCAGGAGTCAGGAGATAGGGAGCCACAGCAAAGCAGCCCGGGATTTCCAGGAACATGGGGTGGCCCTGCATGCACACCAGCCTCCCTTACGCTTCCAGCAGTGCAGCAGAACAGTGTTGGTGGGGTAAGGCAGGTGCCATTAAATTGCAATCATTTAAAGCGTTTTTGCCCAACCTGATAAGCTGCTGACTTACCCTTTTTTTACCCCCTGCACCAGAGGAGAGAGGGAATGCAATGGGGACAAATACATATAGATGATACGATTTTAATACCAGGATTATTTTAATACATATATTAAAACTCATTTCTGCTCAAAAAGTTTAAAAATTTACCATGTTTCTGTGCACAGTGCACTAAAACATTCAAGGTTAAAGCAATAACTTATTCTTTGACAACAGGAAACAGCTGATGAAAGAAAACCTCTTTTGTTTTGGATATACAGACCGTTTCCCAAGTGTTATGTTTGCTTTGGCTGTCTCTCTGGCATCCGCTGGTAGCAATGAGAGGGAGGGAAGGCAAGGGTGTTGCTCAAAACACAGGGCTCCTAAATGCTGTTACTCCTGTTGTTATCTGCATAAAGGTAGCAAGGATCCTCCTGAACCCTTTTCTTCCTCCCCAGAGCTTTTTGAAGGTAACTGTGTGAGGCTGTCCTAGCAGAGCTCCAGAAGCTCTCTGGAAACACACCACAAATGTCCTGGGAATAGACAGGCTATAGGAAGTCTATAGTCTGGAGACAGAGGGGAAAGGAAAAAGGAATAGCCTAAATAAACCAGTATGGAATTGCTCTCATGTGTTACTGTGCAGTCCTTTTGTGCTTGGCTGGTGGTTTTATTTCCTGAAGGAAGCACTCAATTACTGTCACACTTATATCACTGGGCACCTAGTCTCCCTTTTCCTTCCTGAAGAGCAAGTCTCCATGGATTTTGGGTTGTGCTCATCCCTGCTTTGCAGTATGGCCAGGAGAGGCCTTGAAGTTGCCACTTCACAGCACCTTGGGTAAGAAACCTCTCACCATGTGCTGAAGTTGTACCCATGCTCCCTGCTCCCAGCATTGGGCAAACCAGGCAGCCCAGTGCCTGAGGAGCATGGAAACCATTGCCTTGACAGGGCTCATGAAGGAAAGGAAAGGGATTTCTCGTCTTTTCTTAATTATGAACAAAGCTTTGAGATTGCTCTCTGTTTCTTACCTGAGGAACAGCAGGACTGCTAAGTCTTGCGTTGGTGGGTTTGTTCTTTCTTTTCCACTGGAGAACCCTCTGGAAGACTCAGAGATGGGAAAAACCAGGGTATTGAATCTTTGCTGCCCAGCAGTCCTTACAGCCTGAAGAAGGGCTCATCAGCCCTAAGCTTGTCTGTGCTTCCTGGCACTCAAGCAGATCTTGCGAAAGCGACGACCTTTATGTGCAGCCAGAAACTACCAAAAGGTTCTGTTAAAGCACTTTTATTTTCCAGGCTCCGGGGATCTTTGAATATAGTGATGCAGTGATAAAGTAACTGCACCATGTATTTAAAATCATCTGAGATTTCCAATGTAGACCTTAAACACGGCGCTAAATAGGGCAAACAAAAATAGCTGTTACTTTGACAAGTGCTTATTTAAAGCCTGTTTTGTCAGCATTGCTGCCCTAGTTATGACAGGGAAGTTGTCTAGAAATTGCATAATTACCAATATTAAACACAAAAGCAAAACAGCACCACACAGTTCCATAATGGAGCGGGGTCACGTTTGCCATGGCTGGTGCAGCCTCTGGTAAGTGTAGGGTCCTGCCCCTGGGGAGGAAGAGCCCCAGGTACCAGCACAGGTTGAGGGCTCACCCACTAGAGAGCAGTTCAGCTGAGAAGGACCTGGAAGTGTTGGTGGATGATGAGTTGACCATGAGCTGGCAGTTTGTGCCCTTGGGTCAGGAGGGACAGGAACACCCCTGGGGTGCATCGGGAGGAGTGTGGCAGCAGGTCCAGGGAGGTGATCCTCCTCCTCTGCCCTGCCCTAATGAGGCCCCATCCAGAGCACCGTGGGCAGTTCTGGGCTTCTCAGCACAAGACAGACGAGGAGCTACTGGAGAGGGTCCAGGAGAGACCACAAGGATGATCAGGGGTCTGGAGCACCTCTCTTATAAGGAGAGATTGTAAGAGCTGGGCCTGGTTAGCTCAGAGAAGAGCAAACTGAGAGGGGATCCCATCAATGCAGATCAGTATCTCAAAAGCGGGTGCCAGGAGGATGGTGCCAGAGACAGGACAAGGAGAAATGGCCATAAACTAACGCACAACAAGTTCCACCTCAGCATGAGGAAGAACTTCTTTACACTGAGGGTGTCAGAGCACTGAACAGGCTGCACAGGGAGGTTGTGGAATCTCCTTCTCTGGAGACATCCCAGACCCTCCTTGACACATTCCTGGGTATCCTGCTCTGGGTGGCCCTGCCTTGGCAGGGGGGTGGAATGGGTGATTTCCAGACCCTTCCAACCTGCATCATTCTGTGATCCTGTGATTCTGTGAAGGCTGCAGCAACAGTCTCAGACCATGGCCTCAGGAAAATGCCACACTGCTGCTGCTGTTCCTCACTTGCTCACAGCCAAGAAGGTTGCTCTGCTGTCTGCACTCAGTTTGTGCCTTATTATTCCAGGGAAGACAATTGGGATGCTGTTTTCCTACTTGCCCACATGCTGCTGAGAAAAGCCCTTGCTTCTTATTCTCCAAGCATCCAGCACTCGTCACCAGGCT